TGTATTTTATGTAAGGGGATATAGGGGAAAAATGGATTTTAAAAGTGTTAGCTAGTCTCTACTCCTCTGGAATGTGTTCGAACTCAGGGGAAGGCTTGGGTGATCTTTTTACGATGTGCTAGATTGCACAGGTTCTTTGGACAGGGAGGCCCCAGCTTCCTTGAGGGTATTATAGCTCGGGGCTCCCTGCTGTGCTCTGGCCTCCTGTGACACTGCCAACACACAGGCCATATGTCACTGTGGCTGAACAGAGAGGAAGAATGTGAATGAGGGGGATATGTTTGTACAATACGGAGGATCCTTTGCCAAGATGGAGATTGGAGCCAAAATGGTTGAACCGCGTCCATCTCTGTGGGCATGATTGCTATAGTCAGTACTGTGTTTTATCTTATCCCTTTTCCAAAAATCAGTGGTTGAAACTGCTTAATTTTGCTACTTCTCTTTAAGACTATGCCATCTCTGTATTTGTTACAATATATAACATAATTGTGCAGCAGGAAAATTTCTCATGCTTTGTACTATGGTTGGACGTACTTTGTACATGTTTATTTTTTTAGAAATTAAATGTTCTTTAAACAGCCTACTAAACAATTTACTGATCAAAAACATTTTTTTAAGTATATGTGAATAATGGTATAAGTTTTGAGTGAGATTTTGGAGTCCTATCTATTTTACAGTGCTGCATTACAGGTAAAGTTTACGTTAACAGGATGAGGGTAAGGGACTGATATGAATGTACAATATATATATGTACAGCGCTGCGTAAACTGGCCGCGCTATACAAGTACCTGAAATAAATAAATAAATATCACTTGATATATTCCTGTAAAACAGAAATGCTTTGAAATGTGGATAATGTTTTATAGTTGATGCCACAGGTCTTAAATTTACTATGTGAGCTGCGGGATTTATTAGCATTTTCAATTGGATATACTGATGTTCTTTGGCAGTAATTTATGGCCACAGACAAGACTGCTGTGAACAGATCTGACATATGCATGAAGAAAGGTGGCGTATTTAAGCAAGAATTTAGAAACACAGTACTGAACCTTTAACTACCTCCAAAGTACTGCCCTGGCAAATGTGGCCGCCTAGGCCAAGACTGCTTCATCAAAATGTCAGATCCAGGGTAAGTGCAATATAGAGTCTAAATTAGATATTTATTGTGTGGCATGTTGTAAGACTCTGATGCTGAGTGTCAATAAATTTATACAAACCTCTTACAGTTGGAAAAAATAGTGTCAGCCTCTCCTATTAGTATATTCTAGGTTCCTCTGGTATTAGTCAGTGTGCCATGATGGGCACTTCTAAGACTAAAGTTATAAATTAGGCTTTGGGTGTACCTTTTAACTTTGCCAACTTCCAAAAAGGTCTCTTAACCTTGCCAACTTCCAAAAAGGTCTCTGAACTACCAAAAAAGTGGTCATAAAAAAATATGTGATCTTCTCCCCCTGGCTGTTAGAGCCTACTTATGACATGTCATTCCTCTCCCTTTGCCCCAGCAGCCTATTCTGGGTAGATCAAAAAAGAGTGCTGTCATACAGTCAGGGTGTAAGCACCTCAAAGTTGGCTGGCAAAGAAAGCAAACAAGGATATTTCAATACACATTCGAGGGTTATCTGATCTCCCTAGTAGCCACATCCAGTCTGAATTGGAGATCGGAATCAATGGTTATCACTGTTCCACCATATGGTGACCCATCTCAACACTAGAGACTGTCAAGGATCACATCAGGAAGATGTAACAAATAAAAGATTGTTAAGGGTTTTGCTACATTTGGGTCTACTGTGAAATGCTTAGCTGACTCGATCTAAGACAGCACGTCACCCAACACTAAAGCATAGATAGAGTTTTGCCTTTAATTAGCCACTTGTATTTCTAAGCAACAAAATAGTACTTGCCATCTCTCAGTTTGCAGATTTGGTAAAAGTACATTACCAATCAAGGATTGTTTCTCTTTCCCGTTAATATCAACCCCTTTTTTTGCATATTTGATGAAATAGAAAGCCATTTGAAGAACAGGTTGCAGGGCTTCTAGGTTAATTGTGAAGGACAAAGAATGGATTAGTTAAAACCACTTTGTTTGCCCTGGTGACCACAAGAAAGTAGGTGAGGGGACATCCAAAATTTTGTAGTTGTTGCCAGTACAAGAGCTAAGGGGAAATCTTCCATTCATCCCTGTTCCAGGGAGAGCTGTCTAAGAAAGGGAATCCCTCATCTTGGGAGATTTCTCATAACTCCTTGTTGCTTCTCTGTGACAAAAAATGAAGGGAAGTTTCACCAATGGTACACAGACAGTAAACAAACTGACAAGGGTTTGAAACCTTACTTTATCCAAAACTAAAAAAAACAAAAAATGGCTTTACCAGCTGTACTTACACCTTAACTCTACCATGTTTCATGTATCATGTCAAGGCAAATGTTAATTGTCCAAGACGTGAATAGATATGTAAAAGGTTTGAAACCCTCTTGATCAATGTATTGATCGATGTCTTGACCAATCAACACATCTCTCTGGCTTTTAACACCTTAAACATTTAAAGCAAATTTTCAAAATACGGGTTTTTTTTTTTTTTGGTTTAATGAATCCACTAAAACTTTTTGACAGATTATCTTGAAACAAATGTAGCAACATGATATATGAAATATGCAATACAAAGCCTTGATAAGCCAGAGGTATTTTAAAGCCAAGTGCTGTGGCCTGATGAAAGAAAATCAGACCTAAGGCTTTAATTGTCAAGTGTGGATTTGGAGGACAAAAGAAGAATTTGAAGAAAAGAACACTTTGCCAATAGTTAAGCCCTGGAGTCAATCTATTGTGACTTAGAGATGTGTGACACGCAATGGCACATTTATTACTGTATAGATAGAGGGAAGAATTGAAACTACTAAGTATCAATGAATGTCCTGCAATCAGTGATAAAACTGAACCTGAAAAGAGAAGATATAGTGTAGTTCCACATAATAATCATAATAATAATCCAAAACACAAATAAACTATGAACTGCCTCAAGAAGTTTAAGATGAATGCTTTGGATTGGCCTTCAGATTCCTCTGACTAGAATAGATTTCAAATATTTAATGCATGCAAAAGAGGGAGTCAAAAGAATTCATGTTAGAAAAGAATTATTGTTAGTTGTCTGGAGTCCTTGCTGCATGCCAACAGGAATGTAAAACCAGCAATACATATTACTGTCTGACCCGTAGAATTTCCATTAGATTCACCATCAAATTTAGTGGAGCCTGCCTGATTATTTACAAAATAAAAATTGTAGGCCCTCACATTACATAGTTTTGATAAATCAAAAAGAGATTGTAACAAAGTTTGTACAATCAAACTGTAAAGTGTATGACCAGCTTCCCTAAATACCGACTATCAGAGTACTTCATTTTCACATTCAGCAGACATATTCTAATGGTGTAGCAGAATTTAGAGAAATATGTCCTGTGTAAGTTTGTTACCAGCAGAGCTTTTTTCAGTAAGAAAATCACCAATACGTGTACTCAGTTGTTTTCATTTACTGCATATATCTAATTACCACACTGATATCTATACATCCATTGCACAACACAGAAGTTGACCCATTCTACCCTTCAGCACTGGCTTTTAGCCATAAGAGCAGCAGTGACCCAGGGCTGTTATCTACCTACAGTATCTGTATTGTCAGTTCTCTCTAATTAGAAAACATAGACCCATAGGTGGTATATGCAGAAACATTTGGTAAATACGAGCATGTAGTTATCAGCACAGTCAAATGACTATGTGGTCATTTAGTTACAGAGCTCTATTGTCTACAGACTGTCACAGAATTCTCCTGTCAGGCATTTATTCAGCTTCCACAGCGACAATGATGTGTTACTGGAGTATTTACCATTGCACAGAACAAGTCTAAGCATTTTATTTTAGCTCACTATCACTTATTATTAATAGGTATTTCCCTTACACCATGAAAAATTAGCACTCAGTAACAGTAAATAAAATGCTTGGCATAATTGGGCAATTTTTAAAGCTTTCCTTCACCCTTCAACTCACTTATTTTAATTGCTTCCCAAGCATTCTGAATTCTGTATCCAAACAATTGTGGTGTAAGTCACTTTAAAACACCAAAAAAAACAGTTGAAAAGCATGTTGGTCAATTTGCACCACAGTTTTATTCACCTAAATTGAATTTAATGTAAAAACGTATGGGGCTTCCATTGGTGATCTCTCATTTAAGAATATTGGTTCCCTAACTGTGAAGTTGATGATTTAGTTTCTTTACTTTCTGGGTCTCTGACCAGGAACAAATATCAAAATAAGGAATTCTGAGAGTTTTCTGACACTCATTTATAGCATGCATTTCCAAGTCTGTGACTCAAAACCATTGCAGCTAGACACAGTCAGGCAAGAAGCATTTTCAAAAGAAGGCAAGCAATACTAGTTGGCATATTTTTCTCATTGCAGAGTCACTTTAATCTACCAAAATCAGGAAAAACAATCAAACCTTTGCTGTGGGCTATTCAGTTCTACTCAATCAAGTCTTTATTCAACAGCTGATGGAAAGCTTCCAAAAGTGCCAATACTGTATATAGCCAGCATCAGTCACGTATTGAAAGCATCTGCCATCCTGGAGCAGATGTAGGTATCACTGCTGTTCAGACCTGTCAAAGCATGTAACTCTAAAAATATGCAATGTTCACATATTGACCAATGCGTCTAACAACAGAAAGCTCTACCAACTAAGAGTAAGCAAAGATGCATGCTTATATCAGATGTATTTACAGAGCATGTTTCATATTTACCATTGACTTATTAGTAATAATTAAATTCTGCAGATTGCAAACTTGACATTTGTAACAGAGTTGCAATCTCTTATAGCCATAAATGTTTGCACTGAACCTCCTCGGCAGAGGGAGGAGGCTCTGTTGAGCCAGATACCCAGTGACCCTGAAATGTATGGTGCCAGCTGAAGGTAAGTTCAAAGTTTACAGTGTAGAAGAGTACAAAAGATGTGCAATACCTTTGGCTTGATTTTAATGAGGGCAATATCAGCTTTTTCATCTACATCTATTATTTTTGCATCGTATGTGGACCCATCACTCCTCTCCACTTTCAGCCTTTGCTTGTTTGTCACCACGTGGGCATTGGTAAGAATCAACCCATCTTCTGAGACAATGAAACCTGATCCGCTGGCTGAGGGGATGTCACGCTTTCCAAAGAAAGAGAACCTGGACACAAGAAATGGTTGTAAGACGGTAGAATCCCAAGACAATGCACAAGTAACATATTACAAAAGCCTTTTTCATCCGGTGTTCCATGGAACTCTAGGGTTCTCCAGAGGCCACAAACGTTCCTTGAGCAATTAGGTGTCTCTGCCTTTCATATAAGTTACCACTGACACTTCTTTTTTTTTTTTGAAAGATAGCATTCTTTCAACTAACTACCAATTTAAGGAGCATTCTTCCCATTGACCTTCATAAGGCCCTTCTCTCACTGATCAACAGTGCAAGAGAGCCCTCCTCCCAATGACCACTTTCCACTGACCACTAGGGAAACAAAACAATTTTCTTTCTGGCCAAATAACTGTTTATTCCATTTTATTGTTATCAATGGAAATAATTTTGTCAAATAAAGTGGTTACCAAAAATGTGAACTATGCCATATTCCTCATTCCTTTACTATTTCTTACATGCCAGATTACTGTTTATGCTATTGTACAGTGAGCTGTAAATAGAGTAATTATTAGAAGAAGCTCCTTGGGACCTGCCAGGTTGTTTTTTTTTTTACATTTTATCATGTTTAAAATACAAGCCCATCACAAATTCTAGCCAAGTGACCATAAATTGAAGCCAAGAGGCCCAAAATTGGAGGTGTTGCAAAAAAATGTAATAAAGAATATATTAAAATGTATGCAACTGTAAAGTGCAATTAAGTGAAACAATCAACCAGAGTTCACCTGCTTTAAAAATAGGGTAGCCGGAACTAGGAGAAATTATTTTAGATTGGCTGTGGTGGGCACATTGTTCTTTGCCATATGTAGCAGTGTTGTTCAATTCATTTTGATATTTGCTATCACTTTAAAAAAACAAACCTTTTTCATCTACCCTTGTTTTTCATAAATACCCCTTAAAGTGTGTATAACTATTGAACCTATCTACCAAATATGTATACAGCTTTCTACAACAGTCTATATTCCTACAGTGATTTTTAAAGTTTATCCTATTATGCCTTTTTATTTCTATTATTTGGGACCATGTTAACCTGTAAATTAAAATTTAACTGAAAGTTGAAGTAATGATTAAGGTAAAAGTACCACTATCTATAAACCAATGTAATAAAAAAAAAAACAATCATTAGCACATATAAGTGCAATTATTAAAGCATATAAGTGCAATAATAGCATATAGACAAAACTCTGCATATCATATAATAAATCACTTTGCAGAGCTACTGTATTTATCCTGTGTACAGTCCTTCTGAGTGAATGGGGGCAAAATCGTAAGTTATTTTCTCTCCAGGTTGAATGTTATTTATTCAACAAACACAGAGTGGTTCAGAAAAAATATTGTATTGCCACTTTTAGATTGAGGAGATGATCATAGTAAATATGTATTATTTATTTATTATTATTTATAAATAAGTATTTATTTCCTCTGATTATCAGATCCATCTAGTGACCATAATGCAGTATTTTCCTGATTCACACTATTCTGTATAAATAAATAACATTAAACCTTGAGAAAAAAAATGCCTAATAACTTTCAATTCTGTCTTCATACACACAGAAAGAATGGACATGCAGTTTCACAGGATGAATAGCTATACTGTCCATTGTTTTTATAAACACACACAAAAGTGTGTGTACTGCACAAAACAGGCACTATTTAAACACAAGATATACTGTACATTGTTAGGTTAACTTTTTCCATATGGTTACTAAACCAATGCATCCTGTATGACAAAAGTTAGTCCAACCCCATTTGAACTATGTTATATAACATGACGTGGCTGAGATTTACATGCGGTACAGCTCAATATGCACAACAGCTGGTGCAATCTTCTCCACCACATCAGCGATGAAGTTATACTTATAGCGAGGGCTGTCTGGATCCTTCTGACCTGTAACAAGAACAAAAGTGAACAAATGCTATATAAATGAGTATTATACATTAATAAACAGGAGGTAGTATTCACTAACAGCAAAAGTGAAAATAGGATAACATATCAATCTGGATCTTGAATAAGTGCCAGAAATATATTCCCAGGCTGTACTGTTGGCTGCCAGTTTCCATTTGTGTTTTTAAAGCTGTTATATTGCCCTTATCTTCAAATAGGAATTTTATCCAAGCATTTGTTTTAATTGGAACTGAAACAAGACATAATAATGACTACAAATTAAACTGACCAGTGCTCCATGTTAGTGCTTAAAGGGCAACTCCACTGTTCTGGCAATTTTTACACTGTAAGGCACAAAATAAAATAAAAAAATAAATAAAATATGTAAAGAAAATGTATTACTTCTCATGTCCCTGTATAGTGTGTTAAAAAGGTCAGTACACCAAACAAAATTTCAGTTTTGGGTAGATGTGGGAAATTTAAACTACCAGATATTTTTCATACCCCTTTGGGACTTTACTGGTAAAATAGCCAAGCTTGAGTTCCAGAGTCTAAAGACCTCCTGTCATCATTGTGAGGGATTCCCACTCTCCCTGTTAGATTACATAATAATTTTATATTACAGGGAATGTAACTAGAGGTGCTGAACATGTAAAGTTGAGCAATAACATCCAGAATACAGGCAAGAATTATGGCTGGAAGATCTCACTGTTGGGTTGTCCAAGCAAAAAAAAAAGCTAAGAGCTGACTCAACCTACCAGGTTCCACCAATTACTTCAGTATCACTTTTGGGTGGACTGACCCTTTATTAACTTTATGTGTTGTGTCCACTGGGATAAACTTAGGTTTTGCTTGTTGCTTTGTAGACACATGGAACATCGTGTGAACATTTTGAAGACAGATGAAGGTAACTGAAAACAGCTGTAGACACACTGTCCAAGAAAACATGTCAAATCTGAACATTTCACTGTGGGGCAAAAAGCTTGTAGAAGTATAACTACAAAAAACAGGTAAAAACATTCTATTGAAAGGCTAATTCGAGCTCAGTTTTTTAAGTAAAAGATATAAGCAATAATCCAAAACTTGGTTCTTCTTTTTGTGTTTAATTTGTCAAAAAAGACTGCATACATTGTGGTCTCCACCCAAAACCAACCTTCCTTGATGTGTTTCACCACTGTTGGCTTGATCACAAGCATAGGGAGAGGTTTCTTAAGTTTTTAATATAATGACTAATAGTCACAACCTCTGTTAAGTTTTTATTCCTGTCTATAGCTTTATTGAGTAGTTTCCCTTTACTTCTTGTTCTCCTGACATCAGGACAAGATTTGAGAGGGTATAGGTGTCACTGGACAAGAAAAGACATAGCACAATAAGAAACCTGGTAGCTTTTCTAATCCTTTCCCATTCTGCTAAACAAATTTCCTTTTTTTGCATTCTGTGTTCCAGTCAGAGAGATGCCTGACCAATTCTTGTCCTTGTGACACCCTGTCACTTGGACAGAAAGTGAGGGTAATTCTTCCCAATGGGGGCACGACAGCTCTAAGAACCCATCCCCACTCTGTACATAGCAAACAAAATGTTTGGCTTGAGTTCCTGTTACTATCTCTTTGAGCTGACAACACAGTGCCTCTATTGAAATCCTAAGCAGCATTATCTTTCTTGTCCATTTCTCTCTTCTGGAATACATAAGACCTTCCCCTCTCCACAACTCTGTAACACAAGGAAAAGGGGAAGTGTAGTACTTAAGAAAATAACTTAGGCAAAGCTGACAACACTTCTTGGGATCTCAGTGCAGCAAAAGCAGAGTTGTCAGCAAATATAGAAAGTTAGGAGTAGGGATGAGCTGGGTTTGGTGTGAACCCAGTTTGGCAAAACCCATGAGAAACTGTCTCATGATTGCATCCCTGCTGCCCAAGCCCCAGTCAGTTCAATCAGCTGCGACTGGAGCATTTCTGTATGCAGAAGAGGCAGGGATGCTTGTGACACCACTGGCCTAATATGGCACCATGGCCATATTTGGAAAATGACAATGACCAGCTTATTGGGCTGGAAAGCTTGAAATTATGTGACACCATCCCATGGGTTCTGCTGAATGGGGTTCAGACTCAACCAGGACTCATCCATAGTTAGAAGCTCTCTGGATTTCTAGCAAGTTCAATAGGTATTTTGTAACTTGCAGGGACAAACCATGGATAAATGTACATGTATTACAGAGATTTACTGAGTATGTTTTTTTTCTTACACTTTGATGTTCCCCACCTCTCTGATATATGTGACTTTGTAACTAATGGTAGTAATGGCAGTAAAATGACAAACATTTTTAAACAGTATTAATTATCTATCTTTTTCTCCTGTGAAGTATTCAGACTGTGTTCACTGGCTTGATTTCCTGTCTGCGGCTATTCATAATTCAGTATGGAAAGTTCACATGGACACAGCTTTCCATGGTTCCAACATGGCAACAAGTAAAATATGAGCATTCCAAACTGGGCACAACATAATATTGTAATGAATCATAACCACTATTTACAAATTTATCATTAGCCAAAAAGTGTATGAAGAAACTGTGATTTAACGATTCGATCGTAATACCTTCATTTCTTCTGTCTACTTTTGCAGTTAAACATTTAATACATAATAAATACCACTTATTACTAGAGGTTCCCCTAATAAAATACAATTGAAGTGCTGCAAACAGACAAGGGACGGCTGTACAAAATGGGTAGCACCCTCCATGTGAAAATGCACTTTCCTGGTCATGATGGGACTGCTTTATCTTTTGGCAATGATAATTTAGCTAAAGTGTACCTGTAAAGGTATGAAAATTATTGAGCTGTTACCCACACACATAATAGCAAGCACTCAGTGATTCCTGCATGCAATCCCTGCTGTTCTGACTAGGTTCATACTCATTGGCTACATTTTCCTGCTTTTTGATACACCTTTTAACATGAGTTGACATGTTTTAGGGCTCATTCACTCCAGTCTCTGGTGTGCAGTGTGATTCGGCTGAGATCTGCTCAGAGAGCTAGGCAGATCACACTGTTTTCTCATTTTTTTTTTAACAAACTTTATGAAGATTTCACAAAGATGTTATATAAACTTACATTTTCAGCCTGCAGTAAGTACATTTTCTCAGCTCACTGTGCCTGCACACCACCACGACTCAGTGGTGTGAACCAGGCACATTTTGCCTTGTCCATGCGTTGAGACTGTGCTGTAAAAGCCACCCAATACAGTCCCACCACATCTGGTGTCAATGTACCTCCAGTGTGTTTTCATGCATTCTGCATTTTATGTTTGTCCAACAAAAGACTTAAATAAACAAGAGTTTGCTAGGGGGTGGGGCTTGTTGTCATTCTCTGAAAAAAATCAATAAAATGCATGGTACATGTGTTTTTTCATGCTTTGCTATTGAGGTCTATGAGGCCAAAAGCACACATTGATGCACCATACTGCAAGCTCTTAGAAGTAGGGCCCTCTTGTTTTGAATTCTGTTGTAACTGTCCCTTTATAATGTAAAGTTCTGCACAAACTGTTGGCACTATATAAATACTTTATAATAATAAGCGTATATACCTGTACCATTTATACCAATACACAGCAGGGGTGTGAACTGGTCCATTATAAAAGAACAGCAGTCCTCTTGTTTCTTGAAACCTAAATATAAACCCTCTTAAAAGTCTCTAAAATTGAAGTGCAATGATATGCAAATGTTGACTTCCTAGTGTCATAAATGGCCATGCCCCCTCTTGCACTCCCTATTGGTCACTTAAATCTGCTCATCACATGGCTGCTCCATATAGAGACAAAGGAGGAAGGCCAAGCACCAACTTTTTAGATGAAGTCAGAGCTAGCAGTTCACATTTTATGGGTGTGATGACATTTTGAAGAACAGCTGGAATTGTTTGCAGACACCTGTGGGTGCCTGCCGCTACATTTTATAGCAATATACAGGTGCAGGTGAAGTTGAGCTTCACCAACGAAAAAAAAAAGAGATGACACATTGGGAGCTGAAGCCATGTGAACTACGCCTGCCGCGCTCTTCAAATGGTTGGCAGACCACAATAAGGCAGTTCCCTTGCACTGCTACTAAGGTTCATGTTGGTGGCCACAATTCAGCTATATGAACAGCGAGGCATGCACATGTATGGTTTAGCCTAATACACCTTCTATACCACCCAAGGGGCAGGCCAGCTAACTAGCTAACAGCTCCTTCCCTTTTCTTGTTACAATTTGAAAAGAATTGAACAATTGAAGAAGAAATCTACAGTATCTTCACCCTTCACATTTTTGTAAATATTTTATTATATCTTTTCATGTGACAACACTGAAGAAATGACACTTCGCTACAATGTGACGTAATGAGTGTACAGCTTGTATAACAGTGTAAATTTGCTGTCCCTTTAAAATAACAACACACAGCCATTAATGACACTCTTGTGCATGGAGTTCACCAGAGCTTCACATGGTACCACTGGAGTCTTTTTCAACTCCTCCATGATGACATCACGGAGCTGGTGGATGTTAGAGATCTTGCGCTCCTCCACCTTCCATTTGAGGATGCCATTTTCCCTCCCCAGTGTCATGTGACTCGTTAATGTTACAAGGTCTCAGGTGTGAAAGGGTAGCAGGTGTGTTAAATTTGGTGTTATCGCTCTCACTCTCTCATACTGGTCACTGGAAGTTCAACATGGCACCTCATAGAACTCTCCGAGGATCTGAAAAAAAGAATTGTTGCTCTACATAAAGATGGCCTAGGCTATAAGAAACTTACCAAGACCCTGAAACTGAGCTGCAGCATGGTGGCCAAAACCATACAGTGGTTTAACAGGACAGGTTCCACTCAGAACAGGCCTCACCGTGGTCGACCAAAGAAGTTGAGTGCACTTGCTCAACGTCATATCCAGAGGTTGTCTTTGGGAAATAGACGTATGAGTGCTGTCAGCATTGCTGAAGAGGTTGAAGAGGTGGAGGGTCAGTCTGTCAGTGCTCAGACCATACGCTGCACACTGCATCAAATTGGTCTGCATGGCTCTTCTAAAGATGATGCACAAGAAAGCCCGCAAACACTTTGCTGAAGACAAGCATGCTAAGGACATGGATTACTGGAACCATGTCCTGTGGTCTGATGAGACCAAGATAAACTTATTTGCTTCAGATGGTGTCAAGTGTGTGTTGCGGCAACCAGGTGAGGAGTACAAAGACAAGTGTGTCTTGCCTACAGTCAAGCATGGTGGTGGGAGTGTCATGGTCTGGGGCTGCATGAGTGCTGCCGGCACTGGGGAGCTACAGTTCATTGAAGGAACCATGAATGCCAACATGCACTGTGACATACTGAAGCAGAGCATGATCCCCTCCCTTCAGAGACTGGGCCAGTATTCCAACATGATAACGACCCCAAACACACCTCCAAGACAACCACTGCCTTGCTAAAGAAGCTGAGGGTAAAGGTGATGGACTGGTTAAGCATGTCTCCAGACCTAAACCCTATTGGCCATCTGTGGGGCATCCTCAAACGGAAGGTGGAGGAGCACAAGGTCTCTAACATCCACCAGCTCCGTGATATCATCATGGAGGAGGGGAAGAGAACTCCAGTGGCAACCTGTGAAGATCTGGTGAACTCCATGACCAAGAGGGTTAAGGTAGTGCTGAAAAATAATGGTGTCCACACAAAATATTGACACTTTGGGCCCAATTTGGACATTTTCACTTAGGAGTGTACTCAGTTTTGTTGGTTTGTTTGTTAGTTTAGACATTAATGGCTGTGTGTTGAGTTATTTTGAGGGGACAGCAAATTTACACTGTTATACAAGCTGTACACTCACTATGTCACATTGTCGCAAAGTGTCATTTCTTCAGTGTTGTCACATGAAAAGATATAATAAAATATTTACAAAAATGTGAGGGGTGTACTCACTTCTGGGAGATACTGTGTGTGTGTGATAAGCACCTCTATTATAGACAACAATTAAGAAGCATAACAAACTGCAGGGACAGATTACAGATCATAAATTGAGATACAGTTTAATTTCCAAAAGAAGGTATACTCTTACATGCACCTGTGGTGGCATTGCCCTAAGATTCAAAACTTTTGCAGCGAAATTTCACTGTGGATTCAGAAAACCACCCTTAAACCTATACAGTTCATTCCCCTCCAGTATTTATTCCACAATACCCCGTCCTCTTTCAAATCATACAAATATAGTGTCACTCCACACCTTTTAAATGTGGCTAAAAGCCCTACCCCAAGATTTTGGAAACAAACTTGTTGTCCCACCCTACAAGATTGGTGGAGTGAGATATAGGGTGATGGAGGCAATACCCTTACACTGCTAAGAACAAACAAGAGAAACTTCATGACATCTGGTCTGGCTGGATGTATTATTCTCTTGAGCTTCACAGGCTAACCCAGCCTGATACTTGACCACTGAACTGACCATTCGTCAATGCTGGCCACACCTTCAGAAGTTACCTTCAGAAGTCATAATAGCCCTAATGGCTACTGCTGACCCCCTAAAGGGGGATTATTATTTTCTGCAATAGACTATACACTGACCTTGACTTTCCATTTTGCTCCTTATGCACGCATCTCTACAAGCGAGTAGACCTACTTTAGTTGACCTTATTGCATAGGTTTATGTTATTGTTTTTTTATTTTATCTTTTGATGTTCAACTGCTTCTTATCTGTGTTATCACCGATGTCCTATCACTTGGGTTTCATAAGTGGTGTGGTGAGATAGAATTCTACTGTCTCCTTGCCGGACGCTACTTACAATTGTTAAAATGTGGAAATGCAGTAATTGGAATACTTTCTACAACACATTTGCTGCTCTCTCTTTGTGATTCTATTACTTCTGTATTGTATTGAAAAATCTTCAATAAACAAAGATTATACAAAAGAAGATATAATTTTTTAGTTTAGTGTTTCATGGCTGAATGACGCAATGTCAATAAAAATGTCACTGGTCTAGTGGTTCGCATTTCTGCCTAAAAGCACTTAGGGTCCCCCATTTGAATCCCAGTCAGGACACTATCTGCATGGAGTTCGCATGTTCTCACTGTGCTTGTGTCAGTACCCTCCCACACTCCAGACATGCTTGAAGGTTAATTGGCTCCTGTCTAATTTGGTCCTATGCATGTGAGTTAGGGACCTTAGATTATAAGCTCCTCGAGGGTAGGGACTGATGTAAGTGTACAATATGTAAAGTGCAGCATAAATCAGTGAGGCTATATAAATAGTGTAAGATGACTTAAGAAACAGAATGGAAATTATATTTAGAAAAAACAGAGGATAAAATGGAATTGGCTTAGCATGCTCAGATTCAAAAGAGAAGGCAAGATAGATTTCCAAAAGAAAGTTACTTCCAGGAACATCTTTTACATGTCTTTAATGCAAAGATTCAGTGGTTATACTGGTAAAGATTAATGTATATAGAATGTAACTATAGCCAAAAATTTAAATATTTGCAGCAAAAAAAAACAATGTGCAGAATGTAGTGATGCTTGCAAATTGACTCCAAACTGATTAACAGTTGATAAAGGTTAGTGCAGTTTGCACATCCCTTTTAAATGACCTTAAAACAAAATCATCATTATTAGGATTAATACTGGGGATCCAGATTGTCCTACATGTACAACTGAATATTTCAGTCCCCAGCTACCCTTGTTCTTACCTTGCTCGCAATCTCCTCTCTGGATTGGGATGATGGCTGCAGATCCCTGATTCTGTACAGCTTTACTCTCTGCCTGCAACTTGCATGAGCTGCTATAAGTTTTTCCATCGCTCCCACACACAGGCTGGGGAGATGGACACTGGCAAGTCCTTGTACCCCCCGCAAGCCCACTCTTCACACAGCGCAGAGCGGAGGCACAAGTAGGATCCGTTGGTCCTTCTCCACATCTGTCCCCCTCATCAGCAGCACATACAGTACAGCAGCCACAACGCAGTGCCGTCTCTCCAGATGGGCAGTTCGTGGGCACTGGCGAGCAGGAGGATGGATCACAGCGAGCCGGACAGCGGGAAACAGGTGATGGGATCAGAGCAGCAGGAACCCCACAGGACAGCAGTACCAAGACCCACAGCATTGTAATACTGACGCTTGACAATAGAGGGCACCACATGTGCAAATACCCCAGACACAAAATTGAACCTGGAAAAATAAACAGCAGATATTAACACTAATGATAGGGTTCCACAGTTCTACTTACTGAATCCAAAGAGTTTAGCGTTCTTTTGAAACGTTATTCAAAACAGCAAACTTTAAAAACAAAATGAAAAAGGCACAGCTACATGGATTCACTACATAAAATATAAAAAAGCTGGGTTATGGCTCAATTCAGGTGGCTTCCTTCCCTGAATGACATTACAGAGGTTAGTGTTTCTGGATCGCAGCATTATCCAGTGCAAACTGAATTATTTTATTAGGCAATAGGTAACAAACGCCAGCAAACTACCAATGTACAGATTCCTGGAGTCTGAGCGCTGAAAGATCCAATCTGGACTCCAACACTGCACACTGCTATTTGCCTAATATATGAATAATAGTAAATGTCAAATATATAAACACATAATATAAAGAATGCAGTAGACAGGATCTCTCCTTACAAATAGTAATACAGTGACCTGGAGGGTGAAAGAAGTTTACAGAAAAGAGTAGCAAGTGTGAAACATAGACAGGGTGTATACCAGCAGGTTGTCAGTGTGTGCCAGGCGCAGAGGCTGGATCCCAGCAGGTTGTCAGTGTGTGCCAGGCGCAGAGGCTGGATCCAAGCAGGTTGTCAGGCGCAGAGGCTGGGTCCCAGCAGGTTGTCAGGCGCAGAGGCTGGATCCCAGCAGGTTGTCAGGCGCAGAGGCTAGATCCCAGCAGGTTGTCAGTGTGTGCCAGGCACAAAGGCTGGATCCCAGCAGGTTGTCAGGCGCAGAGGCTGGATCCCAGCAGGTTGTCATGTGCCAGGCACAGAGGCTGGATCCCAGCAGCAGCACACAGCTCCCTCTCCCTGCCCAGGAGAACAGCAATCTTCCCTTCTGTCCAGCCTCCTCTCTGCGTCCTCACAGCCCAGCACTGATTCAGCTTCTTTTATCTGGAAAAGCCCCAAAACAGCATTACTCCACCCCCAGTGAGAGAGCAGGGCAGCCAGCCAAGGATAGTGCACACAGCATGACAGAATATAGTACATTACCTGATACAGCACAGCCTGCTGAGACAAGACAGCAACACACAGAAACCCAGAATCAGCCCAGGACAGAGCTGAGGGCAACAGCAGGGGCAGTATACAGCATGGAGAGCAATGTAGAGAGACAGTGCAGTATACAGCATGGAGAGCAATGTAGAGAAATAGTGCAATATACAGCATAGAGAGCAATGTAGAGAGACATTGCAGAATACAGCATAGAGAGCAATGTAGAGAGACAGTGCAGAATACAGCATGGAGAGCAACGTAGAGAGACGGTGCAGTATACAGCATGGAGAGCAACGTAGAGAGACGGTGCAATATACAGCATGGAGAGCAGCGTAGAGAGACAGTCCAGTATACAGCATGGAGAGCAATGTAGAGAGACAGTGCAGTATACAGAATGGAGAGCAACTTAGACAGTGCAGAATACAGCATAGAGAGCAATGTAGAGAGACGGTGCAATATACAGCATGGAGAGCAATGCAGAGAGACAGGGACTCTGACAGGGTTGGGAATACTTAGGACGTAGCACCCTCAGTAGCATATTCGAATATTTCCTATTAATGCAATAATTTTGACTAAATGACAGTGGGATGGGTCATTTCTCCCCACAATGCTCCAGACCTCCATCAATGACATTTAATTACTTCTATTCATTTACAGTCAGGTCCATAAATATTGGGACATCAACACAATTCTAACATTTTTGGCTCTATACACCACCACAATGGATTTGACATGAAACGAACAAGATGTGCTTTAACTACAGACTGTCAGCTTTAATTTGAGGGTATTTACATCCAAATCAGGTGAACGGTGTAGGAATTACAACAGTTTGTATATGTGCCACCCACTTGTTAAGGGACCAAAAGTAATGGGACAGAATAATAATCATAAATCAAACTTTCACTTTTTAATACTTGGTTGCAAATCCTTTGCAGTCAATTACAGCCTGAAGTCTGGAACGCATAGACATCACCAGACGCTGGGTTTCATCCCTGGTGATGCTCTGCCAGACCTCTACTGCAACTGTCTTCAGTTCCTGCTTGTTCTTGGGGCATTTTCCTTCAGTTTTGTCTTCAGCAAGTGAAATGCATGCTCAATCGGATTCAGGTCAGGTGATTGACTTGGCCATTGCATAACATTTCACTTATTTCCCTTAAAAAACTCTTTGGTTACATTTGCAGTATGCTTTGGGTCATTGTCCATCTGCACTGTGAAGCGGCGTCCAATGAGTTGTGAAGCATTTGGCTGAATATGAGCAGATAATATTGCCCGAAACACTTCAGAATTCATCCTGCTGCTTTTGTCAGCAGTCACATCATCAATAAATACAAGAGAACCAGTTCCATTGGCAGCCATACATGCCCACGCCATGACACTACCACCATCATGCTTCACTGATGAGGTGGTATGCTTAGGATCATGAGCAGTTCCTTTCCTTCTCCATACTCTTCTCTTCCCATCACTCTGGTACAAGTTGATCTCGGTCTCATCTGTCCATAGGATGTTGTTCCAGAACTGTGAAGGCTTTTTTAGATGTCTTTTGGCAAACTCTAATCTGGCCTTCCTGTTTTTGAGGCTCACCAATGGTTTACATCTTGTGGTGGATCCTATGTATTCACTCTGGTGAAGTCTTCTCTTGATTGTTGACTTTGACACACATACACCTACCTCCTGGAGAGTGTTCTTGATCTGGCCAACTGTTGTGAAGGGTGTTTTCTTCACCAGGGAAAGAACTCTTTGGTCATCCACCACAGTTGTTTTCCGTGGTCTTCCGGGTCTTTTGGTGTTGCTGAGCTCACCGGTGTGTTCCTTCTTTTTAAGAATGTTCCAAACAGTTGTTTTGGCCATGCCTAATGTTTTTGCTATCTCTCTGATGGGTTTGTTTTGTTTTTTCAGCCTAATTATGGCTTGCTTCACTGATAGTGACAGCTCTTTGGATCTCATCTTGAGAGTTGACAGCAACAGATTCCAAATGCAAATAGCACACTTGAAATTAACTCTGGACCTTTTATTTGCTCATTGTAGTTGGGATAATGAGGGAATAACACACACCTGGCCATAGAAAAGCTGAGAAACCAATTGTCCCATTACTTTTGGTCCCTTAACAAGTGGGTGGCACATATGCAAACTGTTGTAATTCCTACACCGTTCACCTGATTTGGATGTAAATACCTTCACATTAAAGCTGTCAGTCTGCAGTTAAAGCACATCTTGTTTGTTTCATTTTAAAATCCATTGTGGTGGTGTATAGAGCCAAAAATGTTAGAATTGTGTTGCTGTCCCAATATTTATGGACCTGACTGTATGTAGTAGAGTGAAATGACTGGGAACTGTACCCTGTGGTATAACCTGGTGTGGCACTATCATACTCTGGTATGTGGTCTGAGGACCTATTTATCAGTTTTCCAGTTTACCTTCCAGAATTGTGGTACCCATGGCACAGGGACATGCAATGATTAAACAGGGGATTAGTGTAAGCAGATGTTAGTAACCCTTTTAAAGAAACTGCTCTCCTGGGTGGGTACTTTGAGTGGGGCTAGCTTAGTCCTTTATAATTTGGAGTCAGAAGAACCTCTCTAATGCAGAGATTTATGGGAAGAGGTACCCATCAGAACATGATCATGTAGGGAAGGGGTCCCCAAACTTTCTAAACAAAGGGCCAGTTTACTGTCCTTCAGACTTTACAAGGGCTGGACTACGGCCAGTGGGAGTAGACAAGGAAACCTATGTCAGTGGGGAAAAAATAATGCCCCTTTGTTTGATTCAGTGGGAGGAATTCTGCCCATCATTCATATCATTGGACCCTATCATTTGTGTCACTGGGAGGAATTTGCCTCATCATTGGTGTCATTGTAAGGAGTTGTGCCCCTTTCATTGGTGTAAGTGGGGGGGGGGGGGGGGGGATTATACCTAACTCATACCAGTGGATGAAATAATGCCTCCAGGGCCAGATAAAAGCAAGTGAAGGGCCTCTGAGCACTTGTTTGGAGACCACTGATGTAGGGTATTGTGCATGGTACCCCATCTTGTTCCTGTTGCAGGAGGATGGTAGGAGGTGCCCTTGGCCAGCATGACCATTGCTAGTGGCGAATCAAGGTCCTGCTGACAAGTTCACAAGAAGAGGAGACAATTTACTGTGAATTAAAAGTTGTAGAAACAAACTTTCAACAAAAAGCATGAACATGGAGGGGAACTTGCAATAAATTAAAGACAAGGATTCTCACATATGCAGAGTGCAGGGCTCTGGAATGTTGATTATGAAAGGAGAAAGGTGGTTCAAAGTTCCCTGGGTTTTGGTTTTCCCCAATTAACAATTTCTAAGACTTTTGAAAGAGAAGAAGTCTCCAACCCAGTGTCCAGGTCTTGCAGGAGACCAGCAAGCTGTGAGTGCAGGTACACACAGCCCTTATAATGAAGGACTTGGGCATAGTTCAGGGCTCCTGTTAAGAAACAGGTATATTCTGCTGAAATGCTAGAGGTGAGATTCCTTGCCCATAGGGCTGTGAGAGAGTCAAGATGGCTAATTGAATCTGGGAGACTGGAAGAGCTGAGATGACTTGGCAAGCCCAGGGAACTGAGGGAATTTGCAAGACTCAGAGGAATGAGAGAGAGCCTGGGGTGCAAGGAAAGCTGAGACAAGACTGCAACTGGAAACACAGGGGTACTGTGTAAGATGATCTGGGGGGCCAGAATCCAAAGGCCAAGGTTTAAAATCTTTAGTTTAGGCATCGGTGCTGCCAAAGAGAGAGATAGGTGGCCCAGTATTTTTTTTGTTACTTAGTTTTGATGGTGAATATCATCAGTATGGGCAACTGTTTTCTATTGAACTTTAAAGTAGTTCTAAAGCCTGAAGATATTTTACCTTAATGTATTCTCTGCATTAAGGTAAAAAAAACCTTCAGTATGCAGCATCCACCCCAGCCCCCCCTTATACCTACCCG